TCCTAACTTTGGCTTTTCTCCTTTCCTTTCCCTTCCTTTCCTTTCCTTTTCCTTTTCCCTTTCCCTTTCCCTTTTCCCCTTTCCCTTTCCCTTTCCCTCTCTTTCTCTTTCTTTTTTTTGTGATTTGCCTGCAAATTTTAATCCTTGGGCTGTTGTTGAATAAGGTGTCTGCTTTAATCCATGCATTTAGGTATACCTTATGATCACATTCATTGGGAATTTGTACTTGGACATTATATATGTTGGTTCTTGTTTTTTCCCATTCCCCTTTCCTCCCTTCCTCCCTTCCACCCTTCCACCCCTCCCTATTTACAAAAGCTTTGTTTCCATTTTTTCCTTCTCTCATATTTTTTGCTTTCCCTACTTTCCTTTCTACCACCCCCCTTCCTTCTTCTCCTTCCCCTTTGAACTATTTCTTCCTATTTCACATTATCTATTATACATTTTGGTCCTCATTTACACTTTCAGTTTCTCCCACCAGAAAAACAAGTATTTACACATGTGTGTCCTATTTCACTTAAAAGTATGGCCTCAGTGGGCCGGGGATGTAGCTCAGTGGTTCCGCTGCCTGCCTCACAAGTGCAAGGTCCCAAGTTCGATCCCTCGTACCAAAAACAAAATGTATGACCTCAATGTGTATCCATTTAGCTATAAATGTCTCTAGTTTATGGCTGAGTAGTACTCCATTATATAAAAATCCCCACATCTTTATCCAGTCAGCAGTTGATGGGTATTTGGGTTATTTCCAAGATTTAGCTATTATAAACTGCTACTATAAACATGGATGCACATATATTGCTGCAGTATGATGCTTTTAATTCTTTTGGGAAGATACCCAGCAGGGGAATAGCTGGGTGAAATGGAACTTCTAATCTTAGTTTCTTGAGGCATCTGCATACTGATTTCTACAGTGGTTGCACCAGTCTACAGTCCCACTAACAGTAGAGAAGGGTTCCATTTTCCCCACAGCCCCTCCAGCATTTGTTATTGGTTGATTTCATGATAGCAGCCATTCTTTCTGGAGTGAGGTAGAATCTCAGTGTAGTTTTCACTTATATATCTCTCAAATGACCAGTGATATTGAATATTTTTTCATATGTTTATTTGCTGCTTCTACTTCTTCATCAGAGAAGTGTCTGTTCATTTCAGTTGCCCATTTTTGGATTTGGTCTTTAAATTTGGGGGGGGTCTGATTATAGACCTTTGTCTAAGGGACAGCTGGTAAATTTTTTTTCACACATTTGAGTTTTCACTCTGTTGATGGTTTCTCTTGCTGTGCAGAAGCTTTTTAATAAGATGAGATCCCATTTGTTGATTCTTTGTGCTAGTTCCTGTGTGACTGAGTTTTGTTCATAAAGTCTTTTCCTACACCAGTGTCTTCAAGAGTTCTACCTTACCTGTCTTCAAGCAGATATAGTGTTTCTGTTTTAATATTTATATCTTTGATCCATTTCATTTTAGTTTATTGAATGGTGAGAGATATGGGCCTAGTTTTTGCAACCTAGTTTTTCCAGCACCATTTATTAAAGAGGCTATCTTTCCTCCAGTGAGGGTGTTTTGCTTTCATTGACGATGAAATGGCTGCATATGTCTTGAGTTATTTTGGGATCTTCTGAACAGTTCCACTGATCTTTAGGTCTGTTTCTTTGCCAGTACCATGCTGTTTTTATCACAGTAGCTTTGTAGTAGAGTTTCAAGTTGGGGCTTGTGATAACCCCTGCCTTGTCTTTGTTTCCTAGAATTGCTTTTGCTATTCTAGGTCCCTTCTGGCTCCAAATGAAGTTTTGGATTGTTTTATCTAGTTCTGTGAAATAAGCTGTTGGAATTTCAATCAGAATTGCATTGAATGTATAAAGCAGTTTTGAAAGTATAGCCATTTTTACTATATTGGTTCTTCCTATCCAAGAACAAGGGATAGCTTTCCATTTTCTGATATCATCTTCAGTCTCTTTTTCAGAGTGCTGTAGTTTTCAAAGTGGAGGTCTTTTACGTTCTTTGTTAGGTTGATTGCTAGATATTTCATTTTCTTTGGATGCTATTGTGAAAGGAATTGTTTCACCAATTTCTTTCTCAGTGAGCCTGTTACTCGTATACAAGAAGGCTATTGATTTTTGAGTCTTTTCCTTTTTTTTTTTTTTTGGTACCAGGGATTGAACTCAGGACCTTATGCTTGTGAGGCAGGTGACAGAACCACTGAGATAAATCCCCAGCCTTTGAGTCTTTCCTTTGACTCCAGCTACTCTGCTGACTTTGATTATTAAGTCTAGGTGTCTTTTGGTGGAGTTTTTGATGTCTTCTATATAGTCATCTATAAATATGTCATCTGAAATAATGACAGTTTAACTTTTTTCTTTCCCATCTTTATTTCCTTTCTTTCTCTTGTTTAATTACTGTGGCTAATGTTTCCAGAAACATATTTAACAGGAGTGATGATAGTGGTCATCTTTGTCTTTTTCCTGATTTTAGCATGAAAGATTTCAGTTTTTGACCATTCAGAATGATGTTGGCTGTTGGTTTTTCATAGATAGTTGTGATAAGATTGAGATAAAGACCATCTATTCCAGTTCTCTGTAGGTTTTTTTAAAAATCATGAATGTGTGTTGAATGTTGTCAAACACTTTTTCTGCATCTATTGAGATGATCATATCTTTTTTGTCCTTGGCTCTGTTAATAAAGTGTATTATATTCATTGATTTACCTATGTTGAACCATCCTTTCTGCATCCCTGGGATAAATCCCACTTGGTCAGGATGTATGATCTTCTTGATGATCTTTTGTATTGTTTTACCATTATCTTATTGAGGATTTTTTGCTTCCATGTTCATTAGGGAGATTGGCCTGTATTCTCTTTTTGGTTGAGTCTTTTTCTGCTCTCAGAATCAGTGTAATGCTTGCTTCCAGGAATGAATTTGGGAGTATTGTCTCCTTTCACTTTCGTTAAAGAGTTGGATAATCATGGCATTAGCTCTTCCCTAGATTTCTTGTACAATTCAGCAGTGAAGCCATCAGGGCCTGGGCTTTTCTTTGATAAGTTTTTAATTATATTTTCAATTTCATTGATTGATATTGGGGTGTTTAGAATTTTTAGGTCTTCGTTCAATTTCAGTAATTCCTATGTATCTAGGAATCTGTCCATTTCTTCTGTGTTTTCCATCTTATTGGGGTACAGATTCTCAAAGTAGGTATTAATGATCGTCTGGATTTCTGGTGGATCTGTTGTAATTTCACCCTTTTCATTCCTAATTGTATGAATTTGAGCCTTTTGGGGGGGGGATAAGGTTGGTAAGGTTTTGTCAATTTTATTCTTTGAAGAACCAACTCTTTGAGTTGTTGATTTTTTGTATCCTTCTCTTAGTCTCCATTGCATTGATTTCTGCTCTGATCTTTATAATTTCCTCCCTTGTATGAGTTTCTGGTCTGTCTTGCTCTTCTTTTTCTAGGAGCTTGAAGTTCAGCATTAGGTTGTTTATTTGATCTGTCTCAATTTTCCTAGTATGGGCATTCACTGCTATGCATTTCCCTCATAGAACTGTTTTCTTTGTGTCCCATAGATTCCTGTATGTTGTACTAGCATTATCATTTACTTGTAGAAACTGTCTAATTTCTTCTTTAATTTCCTCTGTGACCCATTGGTTGTTCAAGATGGTATCATTTAATTTCCATGTGTCTGTGAAGTTCTTGTGTGTCTTTTGGTATTGATCTCCAATTTCACTGTGCTATGGTCTGACAATTCATTTCCTTTGCATTTACTTAAGCATGTTCCTTAAGCTAGCATGTTGTCTGTTTTGGAGAATGACCCATGTGTAGCTGAGGAGAATGTGTATTCTGATTTTGTGGGGTGGAGTACTTTGTCGACACCTATTAAGTCCATTTGTTCAAAAGCTTGGCTCTGTTCTAGTATTTCATTGTTGATTTTTTTGTCTAGTTGATTTGTCTGTAACAGTAGGGTGTTGAGGTTCCCCCAGTAGTATTGTTTTAGTGCTTATTTGATTTTACATGTCACTTAATTGTTTTATATGGTTGGGTACACTAGTGTTTGGTGCATATATATTTATAATTGTCATTTCTTCTTCTGAATTGTTCCTTTTACAAGGATGTAATGACCTTCTTTGTCTCTCTTAATTGTCTCTGAAGTCTACTTTGTCTGCAAATAGGATAGTGACCTCTGCTTTTTTTGTGGGTTCTTATCCCATGGATTATTGTTTTCTATCCTTTGACTTTTAGTCTCTGAATTTCTTTTTGTGTTAAATGTGTTTCTTTTATGCAGCATATTGTTGGATCTTGCTTCTTGATCCATTCTGTCAGTCTGTTTCTTTTGAATGGTGAATTGAGGCCATTGGCATTGATTATTGTAACTGATAGGTACTGACGTCCTTGTCATTGTAGTTTCCTATTATTGGCTCTTTTATTTTTTTCCCCCTTTTAATTTAATTTCTTGCCTTGTCTGATGGCTTCATTCTGTTGGGCTTCATGGAGGTGTGACCCTCATTGTCTTTTTCTGGGATATTGTTTAGAATTTTTTGGAGTGCTGATTTAGTATTCTTGAAGTTCCTCAGGTGTTCTTTGTTGTGAATGTATTGTATTGCTCCATCGATTTTGAAAGATAGTTTTGTAGGGTACATCATTCTGGGTTGGAGGTTTTCTTTTATGGCATTTCATTCCAGGCTTTTCTTGACTTTAGGGTTTGTGTTGAGAAGTGTGCTGTGATTCTGATGGGCTTTCCTTTGTGATTTTTTTTTGTAAGTGCTTTTAATATTCTTTTGTTCTATTGGGTTTCTGGGATCTTGACTATTATTATATGTCTAGGTGTAGATTTTTTTTTTGATCATGGCTAATTGGAGTCCTATATGCCTCACTTATCTGTATGTCAAATATTTTCCCTCTTCTTGGGAAGTTTTCTGCCATTAGTTCGTGAACAATTTTTTTTTGTTGTTTGTACTATCTCCTGCTTTTTCATTGACTCTGATCAGTCTTATGTTATTCTTCTTTCCATCATCTAGCAGCTGCTGGATTGGTTTCTTGTGGTCTCTTGCCACTTTTAAGAAATCTTTCTCCCTGCCACCTGCTGAGATGCTGTGCTGTGGCCTGGCCTGCGAGCGCTGCCGCTGTATCCTGCCACTCATGCTGCTCAGCGCCATCATCTTGGACATCATCGTGCTGACCGGCCGCGGGTGGCTGCAGTAAAGCACCCACATGCAGACGTCGTGGCTGTGGTGGAAATGTGTGGACAAGGAGGGCACCACCGGCTCCCCCACCGAGGGCTGCGAGAGCCTCATGCAGTATGCTTGGGGAAGAGCAGCTGTCACCATGCTCTTCTGCGGCTTCATCATCCTGATCATGTTTCATCCTCTCCTTCTTTGCCCTCTGCGGACCCCGGATGCTCATCTTCCTGAGAGTGATCGGAGGCCTCCTGGCCCTGGCAGCTGTGTTCCAGATCATCTCCCTGGTTATTTACCCTGTGAAGTACACCCAGACCTTCAACCTTCATGCCAGCCCAGCGGTCCTTTACATCTATAACTGGGCCTATGGTTTTGGGTGGGCAGCCACGATTATCATGATTGGCTGTGCTTTCTTCTGCTGCTGCCTGCCCAACTACGAAGACCTGCTGGGCAATGCCAAGCCGAGGTACTTCTACACCTCTGCCTAAGGCAGAGGAGCGGGGCACGCTGAGATGGTGCCAAGCAGGGGAGCCTTCTCGGGCTACCCAGCATCTGTTTTGGCAGCATCTGTGAGCTCCAGGCCACTGGAAACCTCTTCTAGCAGTGTTCAGAGTTAAAATAGTTGGAAATGCTAAAATAGTTTTGGGGAAAATATTTTAAAAATTGTGTTATAGTTTCATACTCCTCTATGTTTTGTGAAATTAACAAAAACATGTTTATTTTTGCTGGTTACTTACAATATGCCAGTGTTTCCTACATCTATCCATAGCCTTTATACTGCATTTATAAAAGAAAATGAGCTTGAAGAGTAGAAATGTGAAGGCTTCCAGGATGTAGTAATCTGCTCAAGTTTGGGGTTTCTTTTTTTCCCAGATAGAATGGACTATTTCTATGAAGAGCTAAAAGGAGGGAGATACTGGTAAAAGTTGTCAGTAACTAAACATTCTAAAATAAAGATAAAACAAAAACTGTTTTCAAGTTTTTAGCTATTTAAAGAGCAAAATAGTTTCCTGTTTTTGAGAATCTATAATTAATATTCTAATAATTGCTGTTTTGGTAAACTTCATATTGACTTGATATTACACGAAGGCAAGTATTTTTCCATGGCCAAAGCAGATTGCGGTACTAAGACCTCTTTAAGTAGAGAAAGGCTAAGAGGAAATTTGCTCTTTTAATAAAAATAGCTTACAGGGTTAGGGTGTGGGGAAATGCTATATTCATAAATCTGTACCACTTTGTGTCTATATAGTCAGGACCCATGTAGACTTGAAAGATAGGAATGATGAACCCATATAGTAAGGTGTTAGGATGGTTATTGCTGTCCCCAAAGTGCCATTAAAACAGGTCAAGGGGAAGAATTGGCTTGAGGTTTTTATCTCCAGTTTAACTGGGCTCTAACCATTTGGACACAGCTCTGATAGATTTTGTCACAAAAACCTAAATATAGTTAAAAACCTGGTCTCCCTTGGTAAACAGACTTAAAATGGCTGATGTAAAACGTACAACAGGAGAATTCAGGGATATGAGTTTCTCTGAATATATATTGGATGAATTGTTATTTTTTTTTACTATTTATACTGACATAATGAAAACTCATTTTATACATCAAATTACTATAAGTTGTACCATAAGCAACTAAATTTTCATTATTTTTTTTTCTCAATAAACCAGGTGTCAAAAAAAAAAAAAAAGAAATCTTTCTTTTCCCGGTCACTAACTACAATCCTGTCTTCTATATCTGATATTCTGTCCAGACATTGGCTCATTCTGCTGCATATACTTTCAGTGGTATTTTTAATCTCCTGGATATCTGTTTGAATCTATTTTATGGAGTCCATTTCTTTCTTCTGCTGGCCATTCATGGATTCCATCATGTTCCTGACCTCTTCTATTTTTTTTTTTAATCTGTGTCTGCTCTAGAGTTATTAATCATGTCGTTCACTATGGTCACCATCTCTGTCTGAGAATTTATTTCTGATTTAATTTTTTTCAGATCCTCTTTCATTGTCAGTTTAAGGAGTCCAGGTGGTTGTGTTTCAGAGTGTTCCATTTTGTTGCCCCCTGAATTTTCCTTTGGTGTTCTGGAAGTCTGGGTTTGCATCTTGTTTAGGTGTCTCCTTGTTTCTTTCTTTTTTCTTTTGGTGATGTTTTTGGTTTAATTCCTGGGTTGTTGCTTGTAAATTGCTTATTAGAAGTATTTTTATTGCTAGTATTTAAAACCCTTAGGAAATGACTACTACTTGGATTGTCCTCCAGGTGTAGTTGTTCTTTGGGTTTTGAGTCTGTAATGGCCCTTAAGCAATCTCAATCTTGGTATACCAGGAAGGGCAGCTGGCTAGAACAATCACATTACCTTGGCCAAAATGATACAATCAGCATTAACATTAGCATCAAATACAGCTTAGAAAATGACAAATTGTGGTACCTGTTAGTCTGACACCTTTAACCAAGGAACTAGACTTGTTATGTATCAAAATCAAGGATCAACCACAAGAATGATCTATAGTAAATAAGCCCTTCAATATAGTGGCTTTACCCTCTGGGAAGAAGACTTAGAAAAAGTTGAGGGATAGAGAGATGGAAGGAGAGAAAGAGGTTAGAAATAGGGCTAGAGGACACAGAAAGGTCATGCAAACTTTGGGAAACTGGTGGAGACAGAAAGAAAAGAGAGATGGAAGGAATAAATACAAGAGTAGAACAAGCTAACAGCAACAGGACAACTACAAGCTGTGTTCACTCTACTGTAAGAATAATTGAGAGAGAATAAGAAAAGAATAAAGTAGGACAATAACAGGAACAAGAAAGAAGAGAAATGAAAGGAGAAGGAAAAAGAGAAAAGGGTCCCCTTCAAGGCGTATCTCTACTGTCTCTGGTAGACAAGGTGGGTAGCAGCCTGCAGATCTGTGTCAGATAATCTTAGCGAGCCCACCATAGTTCACTAAGATTCAAACCAGTTTCTGGCTGTGAGGCAGAATTGAGCTCCCTGATCTCCTGTGGGTTTGGACTCTGCATGGTTCTACTGCAGGTTTGAGCCACCCTTCCCCTTCAGCAAGTCCATGTTCCAGTATGAGGTGCTGATCCCACCAACTCACCAACTGATGTAATCTGGGCCTTCACTACAATGTCTTTCTTCACTTTCCCTGTGAGCTTAAAGTTCTTGACTTCTGGGGTTGAGATCTGGGGCCTCTCCTCAATCAGTCTTTCCTATGTCTCTTCCCCATGTCTCCCCTCTGTGGTCCTGTAAGCACAACTCTCTCAGCCACTGTGGCACCTTTTGTGCGTGTCCACTGTCCCAGTGTGGGGGAGGAGGGAGTGTCCCCTTCCTGTCACCAGCCAAGGCCCCTTGTCCCTCCTCATATCTGATCTCAGATCACAGTGGGTGCCTCTAGCCCTTTGTAGTCAAGGCCCTTGGTGGACTTGGGAACAGAGCTTGTCTGGACTGGTTCTCTACATAACATAAATTCCCTCGATCTGTTGACCAGCTGTCAGCAGTCCACCATCGCCTGATGTCTCTTCCCTTCTTTCTCTCAGGGCAGCAAATCAGCCCTGGGAGAAGTGACCAAAAACAAAAAAAAAAACAAAAATAAAAACAAAAGTCATAGAGCACCTGGGTTCAAATTTGTGCCTCTGACCCAAATCACATCTGTGACCTGGCTGGCATTCACTTTGGTTGTACCAGGTTCTACTTTCCAACTTAAATTCCCTTGGTCTACTGACCAGCTGCCGGCAGTCTACCAGTTCTGGGTGGCTTTTTCTTTCTCTCTCTCTGGGCAGCAGAACAGCCCGGGAGAGTTCAAGTTTGTGCCTCTGCCCCAAATGACAACCATGACTCAGCTGCTGATGGCGGGAGCTTCACTTACCAAATTTCTTTTCCTTCTGGGTGGACCTTCTGGGGAATATTGTCTGGCATTTTCACTGCTGCCTCCCCCTAACTTTGGTTTTCCAGAAAGCTGCATGACCAAAGAGAAAAAAAGGAAAAGAAAAAGGTGTGAGGGGATCTGGTGGCTTGTCTGCCAGGGAGGGAGCAGATTTCTGCTTGCTTGCCTCTGTGTTTGCCAGTGAAATGTGTTGTCAGTGTGCATCATCCTCTGTGTGGAGGAAGGCAAAAGAGGCAAGAGGCCTTTTTCCCCAAATCTATTGTCTGTCACTTGAGTTAGCTGCACTTTTCAGTCCATCAGTTTCTTGAAGAATTCCCAGTATGGCAATTCTTGTTTGGTGCTGTCTGGACCACTGCTAGTCCTGTGGGCTTATTTGTTGTTTTATCACGTCCTGTGACTATGTTTCATGTGACCTATTGATCTCTTATTTCAGATTGATTTTGGCATCAGGATGTATGTCACTCCTTTTCTTCCAATTACCTATGTTTTTAGTTGATTTTTCTCTAAGTAGGTCCGATTTGACTCTTCCTTTATTCAGCTTCCTCTGATAGGTCACTTTATATACCCTGCTTCCAAAGCACTTTCTCCAATCTCTTATTCTCATCCAAAAGTAATTTTTTCTTCTCAGTTGTTATATATTGGTGTTTATCAGAGGGTGATCAATCCTCTGACTCCCTAGAAAGGGGGACAGCAATGGCTAAGGAAAGAAAGACAGTTGAGACTTGCATAATTTCAAAGCACACAAGGTCCTGGGAGGTCAGTGCCTCAAAGAGAAAGCTACTGTAAGCTAGCCATTATTTATTGGGTACACAATAATTGGAGAGTATCAGGTGACTTAGGGGACAGCAGTAATCCTATGTTGATGAGGATCTTAAGTCACTGAGGGTCTTATGGTGATGAGGGCAGTAAGGAGAGCATTCTTAACAATAGTAGGTGGGACAAGATAGCAGGCTGATAAAGAAGTCCTGCATCCAGGTGAAACTTTTCTCTTTTTTAATTATTATTTGGTTCTCGAAGAACCAGAATGTCTTCAGCTGATCTGCTCTTGTCTTTGAGTGTCACAGTATCATGGGACCGTTGAGGCCTCAACTTGTGACCAGAGGCAGAGCAGTTATGTTTCTGCATGCTATAGCTAGCTCATGGGCAAGGTGACATTGGGCCTTAGACAACAGTAGTTATACTTTATGAAATGATTTCCCCCCAAAATTTATGTAGAATGGCTCTTGACAGATCCCCCTTTCTTTTTATTTGCTCAAAGAAGTTGAATCATTGTGTTCTGTGATTCCAACATCTTAAGATGTCATCTGATTTGAGCTCCTCTGTAGCAGATGAAGGTGAGAGCAAGGAGACACAATCCAATTACTACTGGCACAGCAATATAAAACTAGAAATGAGCCTTGAGATAATTAATTGGATTAAGCTGATTAAGTATATCAGAAAATCTATCCTAGTTTTGAATCTGGTCATCAAAATTAGTCTGTTGGGACATAGATACAACTTTTTTGGAAGACATCAAAATCAGTAGTTATATTATTGTGCATTGTTCCTTGTACATGCTTTTTAACATGTTCCCATGGGTGGCTAGACCCATTATAAGGTAAAGGAGTAATGCAAAATCAAGTGGTATTATAATAACATTTTAGGCCTTGTAGTTATAAACTTTCAATCTGATCTCATCCAGAGAACAGTAGAAGCATGCTTATTTGGGATTGCAGCTTAGCATCTATAGAATGCTGAATTTTGCAGGCCTCATCACAGTCTTGGTCTGATTATCTATGAAATGAGCTGTTTGAATGGAGTGGGCCAAGACCAGAGAGGAAACAGCTACATTTTAAATCAATAATACCAATAAAGACTATGCCAGCAATGATCAGTCTTAGGATTCTTTTTGTTCTAAGTATGAGACAAGCAAGACTTGTAACATATGAGCAGTAGGCATATGTGACCATGGTTCAGTTAAATTAACAGGAACCCATACTCCTGGCATATGCCCTAGCATCATTAGAGTCTTATTTTGTACAGAGCCAAAGGGAATATAATGAGTCAAGGTGTATTTTTTTCCCCAGTATCGGGGATTGAACTCAGAACCTTGCAT